TTCACATACATTGAATATGTATGATTGAAGACAAAAATAGACCAGAAGTTAATGCTAAATTTGTACATGGGTCCAGAGCATGGGACACACACATGACACTGCCCTTGAAATGATCTCTCAGCAACAAGAATCATTCAAGACAAAGAAATCGTCCAGAATCAAGCTCCAGCACAAGAAGACAAAAAGCAAATCGTCCTTGCCAGATTTTCAACGTCCAAGATCAATCTATCCTAACCAATGGATAAGATTGATCAGCCAGAAAAGCCTATAAATACAGGCTGAAACAAAAGTTCCTAACCAAGCTTTGAGCATCCAATGTAGAGAAAATTTTCATTGAGCATTCACAAGATATCTAGCAAAAGAGAAAATGCGAATCTATACTTTACTCTCTGCCTGGACTCATGCTTCACTAAACTTCGAAGTTAAAAATATTCATTGATAAATCCTAGAAGCTTAGTTCTTAGTTGGAGGTTAGAACTTTCTTGTAAACAAATCACAAATTGTTGTAAACACTTAGGAGAACAGCTGTTTGGATCCTAAAGTGTGGTTAGATAGATAGAGTACCTTTTGATCCCCACTGGATCATTTCAGAAAAGTCTAAGGACTGAGTAACTTTGAGTGGTGTTATACTCATTGTGAAAAACCTACAATCTAGGCCTAAGTGTTGTAAAGGCTAGATTGGCACTAAGTGTGTTGGGCTTAATACATTAGTGGAAATCCATCTGAAAGAGGGTGGGACTGGACGTAGGAGGATTACACCACCTCTGAACCAGGATATACTGTGTGTTGATTTATTTTCAGTCAACAAAGCACACACTAAACACTTCTCATAAAAGATTGTAGTTTGCCAGCAGTATCCTAAGCAGTAGTCTTAATTGACCCTACTGCTTATCCTACTGCTTAATAACTCACTTTCTTTGAGACAATCTTTCCACAAGATTCTTGCACTATCACCACTAAAAGGCCCGTTCCATCAGATTTCAGGAAATCATCTTAAAAGCATAGCAGTTGCCTCAGCAGTCCCCTGGTGTCTACCCAACTGCTGAGCCCACTGTTCATACAAACTTATTTCCTTTGAACATCTCAACTTCATCAGACCTTCACAACCCTCTCACCAAGGAGTCTGTCCAACCTAATCTCTGAAACTCAAGCTATAACCCAACAGGTACCTCAGCAGTTCCCTCAGTACCACCCAACTGCCGAGACCACTGCTCCAGTAAAACTCCCACTTACTTGTACTAAAACACATCTTCAGAAAGCCCTCATCACCCTGAGCAATACTAAATAATCAATCTTTCCATACCTTCATTTTCACTTAAGTAGGTACCTCAACAGTTCCCTGGTAACTACCCAACTGCTGAGACCACTGCTATCATTAAAGTTGATTATCAATCCATATCATTACATCATCAGAAAGCCCTTTTTATTCTGAGAAAGATTCTGTGTGCACTTTCACCATACACTAAGTATTTCACTAGTAGTTGCCTCAGCAGTTCCCTGCCGTCCAGTCAACTGCCAAGCCCACTGCTCACTATATAAAGTCCAAATATCACCCAAGTTAGAAAAGTGTCATACATTTAACATCTAGAGGTTAAAGACTTCCGTCGTGCATCTATAAATCTTCCAAAATATTTTAGATCAACTCATCTAGAAGGGAAAAGTTTTTAAAATTGAAAAAGCTTTAAAAGTCTATTCACCCCCCTCTAGACTTTTACCTCTATCCGGGACCATCAACTTAGTAAACCCAACTAAGCCTACCCAAGGGACAAAGCCGAGCGTAAGTGAGTGAGTGAGTGAGTGAGTGAACATTATTAGCATTAGGAAGCAGAAGGCTCAAGTGAGCAAGGAAACAATAATCAATGATAAGTCTGCTACCTCAACTGCCTGCTATCAATTGAACATTTACTCCTAGCCACCCAAATACTCTGGACAATCCCCATATGTTTAGGACTGATTTAATCAGATCCCAGGTAGAAGTCACTGCATCTTGTCCAACAGTGCATGCTTAACCCTACCCAAGACCACTCACTTGTCTCCCAATGACATGTGTTTAATCATATTTCACGGGGAACCGCGTCTCTCATTGCTGTCTCCTTCTGAGGCAAGTGATACTGACTACAGTGGCCTCAACCCCATGCCACTGAACTTTCATTGATCACTTTGTGTCTAGTTACTCACTCCCAAATGTTTTTAAATTTTCTAGGACACAGACGTATTTTTTGAGTCAGTTGCAGGTCTTCATGACCCGCGAGAACTTCCATAGGGCTCATCTATTACAGATGTAGACCAATGATTGGAAGGAAGTCCCGCTGTTGCAACATAAGAATCACTAACATTTTTAGGCCATCGCTTCAGAATTTATCTCTATAGTGATGATAACGGGCGTCTACACGACCCCGGGGGGCTACATTATCTTTGCCGACCTTTATGGTCATGCCAGAACAACCAGAGTAACATCTTTTCGGATGCTTCACAATGACTGGTTGGAAGTCCTGTTAGAGCTTAATAATGCTTCTATCATTATATACAGGCCACACATCGATGTTTACATTGATGTTGTGTTAACGGAACACATCAGTGTATCCGGTTTTTGCATTTCAACATTCTACTTGTTTTTCCTGTTTTATTTCCGCAGAATAAAAGAATAAAGGCATGACGCCCCGATTCATCGGACCGTCATGAGGGGGAGAGTGGTCCACATGCTGTTAACTGTCAACAAATCATTCTGGGACACTTCTCTCCTCCAACACTCTCTACTATCTCTGCAACTCAAATTGTCAGCTACGCTCACAAGTTAACCATCATTATGTTCCGCTGTGCCACCGACAAGTTCTCCTCAAATGCATTCATTCCAAATAGTCAAAAAGACTACTTTGTGGAGGAGACAGAGGTCAAATACTCACGTACTGAAGATGAATCCCGTGCGTCCCTGATAATCATCAGAACATTCATTCTAGAGACGTCACCGTACTTCATCCAAGCTGATCAAGAACAACTTCTGGAAGGCTACAATTATAAGAAAAAGATTCCTCAAACCCCGGCATCAAAGATCAAACTACCAAGAAAACATCAAAGGGGAGATTGCGAGGATTTCTTCATAAAGCCTTCTCAAGAAGTCAAGTTCAAAGACAAAGGAAGCTCAATAACAATAAAGACAAAGATATCTGTGCTGCAATGCTGATTCAACATGATTGAACACCAAGGGGGAGATTGTTGAGAATATTTTATGGTGTCCAATCTAGTTAAATATCTTTGTATTTGTGTAGTTATTAATTAAATGTGTAATATGGGCCACAAATGTATATCAGCCCATTAGCTTCTTTGTAACCCATAAGTTAGCCATCTTCTCCTATAAAAGGAGGCTAACTTACGGCAAACCTAACGATCGAGGCTTTAGAGAATAGAGGCACAGAGATAGAGAGATTGGGTTTTCCGCTGCTCTCTCTCTCGAGGGAGAGCAGCGGAATTCATCACGGTATACCAGATTTGGTTTTCATCTATTATCTTTCTATCTGCTTCTTCTTCACTGCTTATGATTGTTTGATTGTTAGCATACTGGGTTAAACAAGGTCGAAACACCTTGGGAGAATGTCAAAATCATTGTTCCGTATCAAGAGGATGTGAGGTCAAGAATTTGGAGAAATGAGAAGAAAATCAAGAAGATAGACGAGCTGGAGCTGAGACGTCTGGAACATTTGAAAGGAACCGACGCTTCCGGTCACATATGGATGCTGAGAAAAATGTCTGCAGATCAGAATGATCCTTATGGACATCGTGAGCGACTGAAGAAACATTCCGATTCTCTAATCATTGGGATCAACTCAGTCGAAATCCATAGCTGCAGATTAGTGAAATATCATGTGATCGAGTTTGAACGTCAAAATGGAGTTGTACAAAGAGTCTCCGAAGGTGATCTCTATCTCGTTGTTCCAACAGATCTTATTCATCTATACTTCGAATACAGGAACATGAGACGGACAGATTTTCCTCAGAAAGACAGAGAACTAGGCTTAAATGCACTCAAGAGATTCATGCTAAGACAAGTCAAATACTATTGTCTCTTTGATCTGCAAATGACCATTGAAAACAATCTTCCGAAAGTGAACATGTCTGCTCCAAGGAATAGAGCTCCCTGGATTGAGAATTTTGAAGAAGGCTCCATCGCAACAGAACCAGAGATAGGACTCATCTACAGAGATTACAAAGGCGTCAACCGAATCTTACTCAAGGAAGAAATTCATAAATACTGTGATTGAACACTCAGAATCATAGAAGACCATTTGGGAGAAACTGCACTGAAACTACAACATTCTGAAGATCCAGATGTCCCGGTTCAGATTGCTCTTATTGCAGACTTTCACGAAGCCGTAGGAGTCAGACTTGAATTCAGAAGGACTCTCAGACATTATGAAGTCATTCTAGGCTATCGGAAATCATTCTACAAGACTCAGAGATTAATCGTGCTTCATCGACAATTGAACACAAAGGGGGAGAATGTTAGAATAATTATTTATTGTGTTCAATTTATTTCTAATTTATTTAATGAGTATTTGTATTTAATTAGATTAGCTGAGAGAGAAGTAGGCCTGAATTAATTGCTCTACATAGCCCACACGCTCGGCCCACTCTATTTCCTAATTGTATTAGGCAGTTCGAATATCTCTCGTATAAATATAGGTTGAGATGGCCGAAAACTGCTAAGTCTCTACACATTCTATTTCCGCATATATTCTGGTAGAGCACGTAGATTAGAAATTCTCTCTCTAGCTGTTCGAGTACTGTGTATTGTTCTTCATGGATTCATCATTCTATATACACGGTATACGATATACCTCAAACAAAACAAAGATATGGATGAGATGACCATCCACAATCTCTATGACTGTCTAGGGGAATTCTCTGAGGATATTCGGGAAAAGATCAACTCTTCAAAGGGAAAGAACGTTGTTGACACACTTTCCCTCCTCTCACCTGAGAAGAAGAAGAAGGAAAAAGCCCCTAAAATTACCTTTGAAGATGACTCGTCCGATGAAGAGAAAAACATGTCTGATTCTGACCCTGAGATTAATGAGCTGAAGAAAGAGACAAGGAAAATAAACAAGAAGTTCACTAGGTTCAGAAATCCTGCTACAAACAACAAACACAAAACTTCTTCCTCAAACTATTCTGAAAGAGTTAGCAGACCATCAGATAAGGCTGTCAGCAGTGACCCAATGAAGTGCTTTAAATGTGGCAAGCCTGGACACTTTGCTAAAGAGTGCCAATCTGCCAAGAAGAAGTATTTCAACTACTACACGCAGAAGGCATAGATCGCTAAACAAAAGGAGCAAGGGGTTGTCCTAATGGCTGAACATGATAGCTGGCTCGAAGATTCTGAAGAGAGTGAGCCTGAGAACCTGGCTCTAATTGCAAGGGTAACTGGATCTGGAAGTGAAAGTGAAGACTCTGAAGAAGAAGAAGACAATGCTCCTACATCTGCTGAAAATGAGGTAAGTAACCTAAACTCTTTAATCTCTCAACAAAACGACAAAATGAAAGAGTTAATCACTTCTCTGAAAAGAGAAAAAAACAAGATAAAGGAAATTGAAGATAGACTTGATAACATTCAAAAGGTTTTGGAAAAATAAGTGTTAGAAGGAGCTTTTGAAACTGCACGCTTAAAAGACTCACGTGATAAAGTTTCTAAGTTAGAGTCAGAAGTAGATAAGCTTAAGAAAATTGTTAGTGACTTAACAAAGGAACGTGATGAGAATAAACAACTACGTTCTGAAGCTGTTATTCGATATGATCTTATTAACAAAGAACGAGGTCAACTTCACTCTAAGATAAAGGAGTTAGAGGACATCTTAGCCAAGAAAGGTCAAACCGAACAGACAATTCATCTTTTGAACAGTAAAATCAAGGATACTCACTTTTATAACCCTAGAGAAGGACTAGGTTTTCAAAACCCTGAGAATGTGAAAAAGGTTGATTGCATTCAATTGTACGACATAAGGTACATGAAGTTAGGATTAACTAAAATGATGAAATTTACTGGTGCTTCTGAAACTATTGAGGAAGAAGAGGAGAAAAGGGAAAATAGGGCTAAAGCTGAAATTAGTTTCGATTATACTGCTCTCAATGATAGCTATCCTTCTAGAGAAATTCCTTTGTCAAATGACTATCTTACCCATTCTCCTCTTGAGAATCAAAACGTGCCCAGTGAGGAAGAAGCGTCAACCTCAAAAGTTTCAGAACCCTACGTTCCTCCTCTCATTAATAAAATTGCAGACCTTCACTCATCTTTTGAAGAGGAACGAATCTGAATTTGGACGTGTTTCAGGCCTCATGGTGAACTTAGATAAATCAAACATTTTCTTAGGGGGTAACGTGGAGAGTAGAGTACCCTATATTTTAGAAAGAGTAGGTTTTCAACTTGGCTCTTTTCCTGTCAGATATTTGGGTATCCCCCTTGCACCTTTAAACATATCTGTAGCTCAATGATTGATAAAGTTACAGATTACCTAAATGCTTGGAACCCGAAGACTCTTTCTTATGCAGGGAAAATTGAATTAATCACATCGGTTATGCAAGGAGTACAAGCTTTTTGGCTTGGGATTTTTCCTATGCCGAGGGCAATCATTGACAAAATAACTTCTCTTTGTAGGTTATTTCTTTGGGGATGTAAGCACTCTAAAGTTGCTTGGTGTGATGTGTGTCTACCTAAGAGTGAGGGAGGTTTGGGGGTAAGAGATACTAAGGTATGGAATAATGCCTTACTATCTCGTACACTTTGGAACATCCATGCTAAACAAGACTCCCTATGGGTGAAGTGGGTCCACGGAGTCTACCTCCAAGGGAGGTGTGTGTGGACCTTTGTTCCACACACGAAGGACTCGAGGCTTATGAAGGCGTTAGCTAATGTACGTGATTTGATTTTATCTAAATTCCCTTCTTTAGGGATGGCCGTGAATTTCTTAGAGAAGAGTTCCCTTCTTGGGAAGCTCTCTTCCTCTAAGGTTTATGAATTACTCCGAACCAAAGGGACCGCCCATCCATGGATGTCATTTATTTGGAAAAGCTATATTCCCCCCAAGTTCTCGTTCATTACTTGGCTAGCCTTCCGGGGTCGGTTAGCCACATATGACAGCTTGGGGTTTTTAGATATCAATGATGCTTGTCTTTTTTGTAAGGGTGGCCCGGAAACGGTGCCACACCTATATTTCGAATGTACTTTTACAGGACAGGTTTGGACCTTGGTGAAGAACTGGCTTGGAATTTCAAGGAGGATGAGCACATTGCTGAGTACAGCTAAATGGATAAAGAAAGAGAACAATGGAGCCCACGCTAAGGCCAAAGGAGTTAGACTTGCTTTTTGCTACACCGTATATTGGATATGGCGTACAAGGAACATGATTTGCTTTGAGAAGATCAAACCTAAGGTGGAGGATTTGGTGAAGAATATTAAGTTCATGGTGTACAAAATTCTCTATGCTATGTATCCGTTTGATAGGATAACATTCTAAGTTTTGCCTTTTTTTGCTGATTCGTCACCGATTGTTTTGTGATGGCTAGCATGTATATGTAGCTAGATGAGGTTTTGCAAGGTGATAGGGTATCCTGTCCTGGGATGACCTTGTTTTTGATGTTTTGGGACTGTACAGTTGTACATAAACTCTTTGGATATATATATTTACATTTTATCCAAAAACAAAATTGAAGAGGAACGTGAAAAGTTTAAACTTGAAAAAGAAAATATTTTAAAGAAAATTTCCGAATTGTCTGACGAATCCTCTCAAGGCTCAAAATCTCCCAAGACTTCTTTTTCTAATGAGCATAAAAAGAAAAATCATTTTGAAAGGAAAAGGAACTTATCTTCTGCTCCAAATACAGGAAAAGCTTTTTCTAAATCCACTGCAGGAAGGATGACCTGGAATCCAAAGAAGTCTTCAAGCAAGGATACATGACCTGAGCAGACGAAGAAGATTTCTAAAATCTTTAATTTTGTGGAAAAGTCTTGTAATAGATTTACAAATTGTTTTCGTTCTAGTTCTTCTGCTACTTCCTCTAGTTCTGTTTCTAACTATTCTCCTAAGCTTTCTACTTCTCACTCCAGTTCTATGAATTCTTATTCAAGTGATTGTTTTAGGCGTGATCAATTAAGCACTTCTCCTTTTTCCAAGCATGATGTGTGTGATGTGAATGCTGATAATGATTGTGTTACTTTCTCTTCATGTAATGGTGTATGTCTGAATTATCCTCTCAAGGTATATTCTGTCAAACATCTCAAAATATTAGAAAGAACGAAAGTTTTCATAAACTCTGAAACATCATACTCACGATTCCAGAACCACTCAAACAAATTTCATAAGGTCAAGCAAGTCTGAGTTCCTAAAAGTGACTCAATCAAAACAGATTCAATTCTTTCTTCAAATAAAAAGGATGGACCCGTCCTTAAATGGGTGAGTACCTAAGGCTGCTTAATTTTGCAGGTCAGTCCTATTTTGTACTTAGATTCAGGTTGCTCCACACACATGACTGGGAAGAAAGAGCTGTTGAGTAACTACGTGGACAAATTTGGTGGGAAAGTGAGATTTGGAAACAGTGACTCTGCTCCTATCCTTGGGTACGGAGATATCTGCAACAACAGGGTCACAATCAAAGACATTTCTTATGTTGCTGGGTTGACGCACAACTTGTTTAACATCGAGCAATTCTGTGATGAGGGCATGCAAGTCATTTTCCGAGCTAACAAGTGTTGCGTTTAGGATGATCAAGGGAACACCATTCTGAGGTGTAGACGCAAATCCAGTCTCTACACCATTGTGCTGAAAACAGTGTTTCCCAATCCCGATGTTTGCCTGCTATCAACAGTGTCCTCTGAACTAAATCAACTGTGGCATAAGAGGATGTCTCATCTGAACTATCGGGATCTACATACATTGTCATCAAAGAAGCTCGTTACTGGTCTGCCAGCACTACAAAGCAAATATGATCATCTGTGCGATTCTTGCGCACTTGAAAAAATGAAAAGAGCTTCTCACAAAGCAAAAATGACAACATCTACTACACGACCTCTTGAACTGCTTCACATGGATTTTTGTGGGCCCATGCATACACAAAGTATTAATGGGAAGAGATATGTTCTGGTGATAGTAGATGACTATTCTAGATATACATGGATCCGGTTCTTGCGCACCAAAGATGAGACAACAGACATCATCATCACCTTCATCTAGACTACTCAGAATCTACTACATGCGACCATCCTTTTCATACGTTCTGACAACGGCACTGAGTTCAAGAACCAGAAACTCAGTGAATTCTATGAGACTCAAGGCATCATTCAACAATTCTCTGCAACAAAGACCCCACAGCAGAACGGGGTGGTTGAAAGAAAGAACAGAACTCTTGTTGAGGCTGCAAGAATAATGCTGATCCATTCCGAACTTCCACATTCTCTCTGGGCTGAAGCCATCAACACTGCTTGCTTCACTCAGAACAGGACCTCAATTCATAAAAGGTTTGAAAGACACCGTATGAGCTGATCAACCGCCGAATTCCCAGTGTTTCTTTTCTAAGAGTTTTTGGATGCAACTGCTTCGTGGCTAATGATAGGGAAGAGCGAAGCAAATTTGATCTGAAAGATTTTGAAGGCGTGTTTATTGGCTACTCCTCTTCATCTAAAGCGTACCGAGTGTACATCAGAGACAGAAAGAAGGTCATTTAAAGAATCAATGTGACCTTTGACGAGAAGGAAGAAAACGCTTCTGGACACATCAGTTCAGAACCCGATATCACTGGTGTTCTAGCACTACTACCCGCCTTATCTCCCTCACCCGATTTCAACTCTGTGGATCTCGATCATATGTTTGACCAAATATACGAGAATCCACAACCACATGATCCATCTCCTCCACCTACTACTATGTCTACAGCCGAAACACCTACTTCTGCATCAACTTCATCATCTTCTGCTACCACAACTGAGACTGGATCAACAACTGAAGCTACACCGCCTCCAAACACTGATCCTTCATCTTCATATGTTCCTCAAACTAACAACCCTTATGTTGATCAACAACCCAACAACAATGCTCAGCCACTCCCTCATGTTAGAAAATGGACACGTGCTCATCCACCTGATCTCGTACTTGGAAATCCTTCAAGTGGAGTGTGCACACGATCTGCTACCGAGAATGAATGTCTGTTTTCTATTTCCTAAGTCAATCTGAGCCTACTCATGTCACCAAAGTGTTAGCTGATCTTGATTGGATAATCACCATGCAAGAAGAAATCTACCAATTTGAGAGACAAAAAGTCTGGTCACTTGTGCCTCGCCCCCCTCGAAAATCAATCATAGGCACTAAATGGATCTTCAAGAACAAGAAAGATGAAGATGGGATCGTAATTCGAAATAAGGCCCGATTAGTTGCGAAAGGCTATAATCAACAAGAAGGCATTGACTACAATGAGACGTTCGCACCAGTTGCACGCATTGAAGCCATTCGACTGTTCATGGCTTATGCTGCACGAAAGAACTTCACCATCTATCAAATGGACGTCAAAACAACATTCTTGAACGGGATCTTGAAAGAAGAAGTTTACGTTGATCAACCAGAAGGATTCATCAGTGAGAAATATCTAGGTCATGTTTATCATTCTGATAAAGCTTTGTATGGAGTCAAAAAAGCCCTGAGAGCTTGGTATGAGAAATTATCTAATTTCCTAGTTAATTTTGGCTTCTCTAAAAGAACGATTGACATTACTCTCTTCATTAAGCGTCATGGGTTTGACATCATCTTGATTCAGATCTACGTTGATGACATCTTTTTTGGTTCCACTGATCTGGCCCTATGCACTACGTTTGGAAGTCTGATGCAATCTAAGTTCGAAATGAGCATGATGGGCAAAATGAATTTCTTTCTTGGACTATAAGTCAAACAACTGCCCAACGGAATCTTTATTCATCAGTCCAAGTACATTCATGATTTGCAGAAGAAATACGATCAAGAGAATAGCACCCCTGTGAAAACTCCGATGACTCCTGCTTGTAAGCTTGATACTGACCCATCGGGAAAGCCTGTGAATGTTACCACTTATAGGGGAATGATTGGTTCGTTGCTGTATCTGACATTGAGCAAAGAAGAATGGTGATGGTCGCAGGTGGATGACTATTGAAGATACATGACGAGCACTTTGTCACGGTGCGTCAAAATAATTTTCAATACTAACACTTATACGTAGTATAGCGTAGTAGAGTTCGTATCCACATGGAAAGGAATAATTCTCTTTTTATGATACTTAGTAAATAAAAAGGGGGGATTTGGATTGAGTGATTTAATTTAATTAAGAACTAAGATGAACAACCTATATGTGTTTAATTCAAATATAAAAAAGACTTGGCATTGCTACTTTCCACTTGTTGATATATTTTAGTCGATCATTGTCATATCTATAACTTATTCCCTCTCGAATACTCAATCGGGGAGTATATCCACTTCATCGAGGGTAGTTATTAACAACGACCGTTCATTAATAACCCTTACTATTAATCAAATATAGAACAACGCCTTATACCGATTTAATAGTAGCATTTAATCTTTCTAACTCCTTGATGAAATCAATTGAGATTGATAACCTCAACACAAGCGGTTTCGGTTTAACCAACAAAATTAATCCCTCTTAAGTTTATTAACCACGACCGTGCATTAATAAACCGAAGTTACTTACTTGTGAAACCATCAACGATTAACCATCGGTTCGTTGATCGTTTCTAGTAATAACTAATATATGAAACAAAACTAGTTGATCCTTTAAGTAATGTTCAAAATATTAATATGAAATATGAGTAGAGATTAATTAATATTCAAGGAAGAATATTATTAAAGAAGATGAAGCCTACTATAATTAATATCAAGATGTTAACTAATTGTCATCTTAGCAACACTCCCCAATATTAATATAGAGGAAGAAAATATCATTCTAACTAATGTCGAGATGTTAACTAATTGTCATCTTAGCAACACTCCTCAACATCAATATAGAGATGGTATTAAGGAAAGAACTATTAATTAATATTCAAGGAAAGAAGTTAAGAAAATAACTCACAACTTTAATAATCAACAAGCTTCAAGAGCAACACCAAGAATGGAAGTTTAGCTCCTCATTTGGAGACTAAACGTAGCTAGAAAAATATAAAGAAATGCTATTCTAAACTGAGCTAAAGAGTATGGAAGAAGGGATGATTTTTTGTGAAGAAAAAGTGTGCTATTTATAGGTGTTTTTCAACACCTTTGGCCGGGTACCCGACCGGGTCAAGTACTTACCCGACCGGGTCCGGTCAAAATCAGATAATTCGCCACGTTCTGGTGATCTTCGCACGTCGTTTTGTCCCGGGTCACATCTGACCCGACCGGGTCAAGTAGGGGACCCGACCGGGTCCAGTGAATTTCTTGGCAATTTCGTCTGTTAAATCACACCCGACCGGGTGGGGGTTTCTACCCGGTCGGGTTTCACTCCTGGGCAGTCAAATTTCTTGTTTTCTTCTCTTCAAAGTCTTCCTTTCCGACACCACACATCCTAACTAAACTTTACAACTTACAAATAAAGACTAAAATACAATTACAACTGAAATCACATAAATGTTTACA